TTTACGGAGTCGACACGAAAATCTCGTAAATCTCGTGGAAATAATTCGACGATCGTGCGATACGTCTGTCGTTGTCTGGAAATACGCCGAGTATCTGCGCGGGGGTTCTCGTACACACGTCAGGTTCCGTGAAATTCGAACACGACTTTTACCAGTGTTCGCGCGCGAAACGGCGATTTGTCAGCGGTTTCGTTCGACAGAAAAAATTCTCGTACCGGAAAAATCCGGCGTAAGAAAAAGAATTCGAACGGCGCGACGCAGAAATTGCAAGAGAGCACGTGGGCGGTGCTCGAAGTCTAGTTCTCCGCGCCTCTCGCTTCCAGTATTCGTCTGCCCGTCCGAGGGAGCGAGCTTCGCTCTGCTGTTAGTGCCGCGTACGCGCGCGCGCGTTCTTGCCTGCCTGCCTGCCTTCTAACCTTTTTTTCGTAATCCGAACGAGCCCGACGTTGGCGGCGCCAAGCGAGAAGAGAAGATGAGGAGGGAGGCCGTCGACCCGTTATAAATGGAACTAGCAAGACAGCATTTCTTGAATCGTTTCTTGTGTTATTATTCGCAGCGTGTCGGCGCACTAGTCCGCATGTGTGCTTGCGGCGCGACCGGAACGTCGACGTCCACCGACATTATTATCGCCGTGGTCCAGAGGATGCAGTCGAATTGCGGCGAGCGTGGAAAGTGAAGTTTTCGAAAGGAAAAAAAGAGAAATCGAAGGAGCGAGAAATCGAGGGACAGAAAGTGGTATTTTTGACGACACGACGAACGACAATCGGGCCGCCAGTGTGAAACTCTCGACGCTTGTTGGTAGTGCCGCGTGCTTTCAAGTGAGCGCGAACAGAAAATTCAAATATCCAAAAAAGGGGATGCTTGTGGCGACACGGTGTACGGTTTTGGAAATACGAAAACGTGAAAAGTGGACGGAGCTGGATAGTCGTGTTTCCTCTTGTTGTTGTTTGGTCGATGATACGCGGCAACTCTCGGTTTCGCGGTTGCACGGTCGTTTAAATTGGCTGTCACAATTCGAAACGCTTGATGCCGGCTCGTCCGCGAGGAGATTGCAACGGTCGAGCCAGTGAATCACATCCGAGAGCGACATTTCGAAAGATCGATGTGTCGTCGGGTCTAAAAAGGTGGCTCTTACTCAACGCCGTTTATCGCGCCATTGGGGAGCGTGCTTGGAATGAACGTCGCGTTTTCAACCGCTATGTGAAGTTGTCCCTACAGTTTAAACGTGATTAGTGGATGCGCCACAAGCGGCCGAGTGTCACCGGTGGGTTTGTAATGTGAGTAAATAGAAGCTTCGTTCTCAGATAGAACACAGCCGGAGGAACAAATCAAGCGATCGTCGATCGTAATATTTTTTTTTATCGTCGTTGCACAGTCGTGAAGATTGTGTGTACACGTATTCGGGGAAAAATACTTAACTACTTCTGCAAAGTTTCACGACAGTTTATTCCCGTCTGTGAATGTCAACGTTGTCGTAAAACGGTATTTCTCGAGGATCGCTCAGTGTCGCGTGTGTGCTTCTACCTGTAAACATTTCTCGCGATTGTTCCCTCGCGTGTATGTGCGATGTGAATGGACCTTAATACGGTCGAAACGAAACGAACTGCAGATAGAGTGAAAATCATCGCGAACAGTGTTAATTGGACAGTATATGATGTGCAAGCGCGGCTCAAATGACACCTAACATCCACGTCTGATGACAAACGTGAACAGGATCAGGGTGGTCGTCCTCGGCGGCCACAGAGTCGGGAAATCAGGTAACCTAAAAATTTCTCATTTCAATCTTTTAGTTCGTGCGAGTCATACAGTTTCGGTGGCGCTGTCATTCGTCACGTAGAAAACTGTTTCACGATAGTTACGTATAGTTGGCGCCAAAATATACAATTCCATTACTAACATACGATCACTGACATAAAAATGTGTTATTTAACAAATATAAACGTGTCTTTAGAGATACATTTATACGTCTTACAAGCTACGCAGCTTACGTATATCGAAACTATTTTTAAATGAAAAATAAGTTTCTCCGGGGTCAAGATTCTTCTTTATCCACCTGTGTACCAAGAATTTCCGTTATTCTCGACCGATCCTCGTAATGTACCCTTCGTACATCGTAATCTCAATCCGTTCGAAACATAATCTACAATTTCACATTGTTACAATTTACACTGTTACAATATACAACTTTCTTTCTATACATTACCACTTTAATTAAACAAATTATTGACTTTAAAATCAACAATTACAAACAAACAACGCAGCAACGTCCCCTGCAACAATAATTCCATCACTTAGCCGCAATAATACACTCAAGCACCGTCGCGATCTATTATTTCATCATTACTCGTTGGAAATAATCGAATTCTTGATTTAATCACCGATCGGGCACGTATGCAACGAAAACGAGGATCATTGTGTTACGATTATGGGAAAGTACGTCCGAGAGGGTACGTATATAAGCGTATCGAAGAGGTATTAATTATAGTGGACAGTACTAATACTGTGTCGTGTAAAGCGTGTAATTTCTGCACGTCTATCTAATACCGCGGCGACGGATTGAATGAAAGTGCCGTTAAGATGAATACGTATAGTCTTCGGTATAATACGGTGCATTAGTTAGGCCGGACAGTCGTGCGACGCGTACAAAGCGACCAAATGAAGGCAATAAGGATAGTTCAGCGACCCCTTGAATTAATCCTATTAATAAGCCGCGGAACCGATATCGCGACGGAGGTGTGTATAATTCGAAACGAGGCTGAATTAAATAATAAACCGCCGGAACTGATATCCCCATTCGCGTTCCCCTGTATAATTCGAACGGCGGGAAAATTTAAAAACGATAAACAGCGGAACCGAGTAGTTCTTAGCGTGTACTTACATAGAACAAAGTAAAATGTGTTTCTCTCACGTGGTTCTGTTCGTTAATGAGGTCACGATTAATTATATATGATTAAGGAGATGATTACCCGTTATCGATTGCTTTTTGATCTCTTACAGAGAGAGAGAGAGAGAGAGAGAGGAAAGTCTGTGACGAATGATAATGAGAAAAATATGCTGTGCTAGTATCTATCGTGTAATTTGAACGGGTCAACGAACCTGTAATTGAGTGTAAAAGTAAACCGAACAATTATACGATAAGTTTTCGATTTTTCTGTTTGTTCAGGATTACATGAAATTCTATCTAGTGTCGTAAAGAGTTCTCGTTTATTGAGATTTAGAGTTAAGTACGATTATAAAGTTTGTAGTTAGGAAATTTTAACTAGCTCGGTCGAGGATTTTTATGGTCGCCTATGAAATTTTCTCGTGAAATCGTGTTTTCGCCCCGGACTTAATTTCATACTTTCTTATATCGATTAGGTCGATTTTTATTATCGCTCGATAACGAGATCTGCTTTTATCTCGGGAGCAGTCTGTGATTTTGATCTTGCGTTAGGTTGTGGTATGAAAGCGTTTTGTAGTAATGCGTAAAAGTGTTTCATTAAGACGTTCGCACTTGGATAATTGACCGATAATATTTAAGAACGAGTCACACTTTGTATTTTGTGGGAAGATTAGGAAATAATAGTGAATGATAATTTTGATGTTAGGTGTGATAGTAAATGCGTTATTTCGTTGATTTTATTATGAAATTAATTCGGATGCGTGAGACTAAAATTCATTGTTCTTTTGTACGAGTATTGTTCAGGATCGTGATTCATACCGTTCCCTTTGTATTCAATTAGATTAGATAAAATAGTTCCAGGATTTTTTCATTCTCCGAATTACACACCTTCTCTTTTACACAAGAGATTATTCATCAACTCTTAGTTACACAGAGATGGTACATGAAACCTTGTACTTTGTTCATGAAACTTCTAACAATAGCCATTCCATAAATCGAGATTTAAAGCTTTAGATTTTCATCTCTTCAATGGGACGATTGTTGATAAAAGAATACGTGTTAAATATTTTTTTGAGTATTATCGTGCACCAAAGTTTCATTAATGTCGGTGATTATCACTTTGGGATGTTTCCTTGTGAATAATAATTTTAATAACGGAGAAGGTCAGAGTTCAAATATTAAATATCCAGGGTGGAGGAGAAAAATCTCGAATATTCATATTTTTTGTATAAAAGAGAAGAATATTGGATATTATAGAGTGCAAATTTTCTTATTTTCTAATGTAAATTTCGAGGCTTTAATAATTTTTCATAGAAATGAAAAATATTGAATTTTGCAGAGTGCAAAAATTTCTCATTTCTCAATGGAAATATGAATTTGGAGGTTTTAATAATTTTTTATAGAAGTGAAAAATATTGAATTTTGCAGAGTGCAAAAATTTCTCATTTCCCAATGTAAATTTGGAGAATATTAATAATTCAGCAAGCAATGAGAATTATTCGCAAAACGACCAGAAATATTTCCGAATAAACGAATAATACGTATTTCACATGATTTCTCCCTGAAACCGTTCGAATAGTATCTCAAGTCACACCAAAACCCACTTGTCCATCCGCAAAGTCTATTCCAAGCTCGAAATGAGCGCGATCCGCGTCTCGCCAGCGTGTCGTGGTCCTAAAATTGCGTTCTCTCTGTGTTACACACGATTCCTCTATCTTCTCCTCTCTCCTCTCTCTGTTTCTCGTCGGAGTTCTATCGTGGCCGGACGAGAACGTTTGATCAGAAAGCGGATATTCTCGGCTCCGTTGGAGAATCCGTAAAAGTCGTGAGAAGGAGAGGCTGTGTCCTGCTGGGTATAATAAGGACCTCCGTGGACGTTATCGGATATCAAGTGAGGAGAGTGGTCAGCGGGTCGTTTCGAGCCACGAAAAATCCTGCACGGCAGCAGGTTGAGAGATCTGGACATCCGATACATCCGTTCTGTTACCGAGCCATGCTCTATACCAGCCTCGGTTCGACCCTGGATACCAAGTTTACGCACTGAACGTGCGTTTTTTCTCCCTTATCGGCTTCCGGCGAATCCACGTTTCCACGCTTCCAGCACAAGGGAACAACGGATCCTACGATCGTTCGATCGAATCGCGTCTTCCTCTCTCTCTCTCTCTGTCAGGTGGCGAACCAATTGTACCGTTTCGCCTTGTTAGACGAGCGGATTACGTTTTGTTCGGTTCAGCTTCTTTTTTTTTTTTTTGAGGATTTACGTACCGGGATTGGGTATTTTAATTGGATTTATAATTGGTTTGCGTGCTGTGTTTCGTTCGGTGCTTGAGTTTTTAACCCTTCCGCGGGAAAGGAAAGGGTTTTTAACCCTTTCGAGCAGCGTGATGCATATGTTGCGTTTGAGTGCTTGAAAAAGAATTCATCTCGATTTAGTATTCGTTACACGATAAATAAGTAATTCGTGAAGAGAAGAGTATGCAGTGGAAAGGTAATTTGGTCACGAAGGAGTTAAGGGATGAAGGAAAATGGGAAGTAGTACGTAATAGATCAGTGTTAGGATATTTTAGACATTGTGAAATAATTATCATCTTTCGAGTTCAGTTTTTAAATTCAACTAAGGTTGAAGAATTTGCGAATTTTTTCAGGGGTCAGTTTGAACGGTAGAGAAAATCTCGAAAATTTCGAATTATTTATGGCAATATTTTTTCTCATAGAATCTTACGAATAGATGACAAAGTTAAATTAGAATGTTCAATTGCAGAAAATACAAAAGAGATAGGTATTGTGCTCTTTTATTCTGTGTATCTTTCTCGAACAGAGAGTGAAAGAGTATTTTCGTTCGCCTAATGAAAGTTTCGCATTCCCTAACCATCGTAAGTTACCGGCGATGTATGTGTATTTATTTATTTGTATTCTACACGATGTGGATTTGGTTATTTTATTGGACCAGGGAAAACTGGATGAGAGTTAAACGGTGGAACCTAAGATGGATACAATGACGCTTTCACTTCATGGAAATAACGTTGATTGATCTTAAAAGAAAGGTGTCGCCCTGATTGAGAGGATACGAATGCTTAGTTTACAGCGGATCGAGAAATTTTTCATCGAATTAGGCTTTTTTTTGCTTCTAACATTGGAAAAGTAGAATTAGAAATTAAGATGCAAATTTTCTCGTGGAAAAAATTAATGTACCATTAATCTTACCTTTCTCGCAATTTTTTATCATCGTTACTAATTTTTTCACAAACGTGGAATTCAAGAATCAGAGAATTAGAAGTAGATTTCGATTCAGTTGTAGATTTTAATTTAACCCTTTATAACGACGTGTGACTTAAAAGTGACTATTTCATGTCAAATGACCGTAGTAAATTTACTATAATTATTCTAACTTTAAATAATACAAGAATGCAGTTTTTATTATCCTGGGAGAACTGTGGAGCGGGTAGGGTGACTCGTCGGTAGCTTTTCCAAGTCAAGCTGCCATTCCTCGCGACTAACGTTAAGATGGGTGACCGCCCAACGTTGGAAAAAAAAAATATTTATTTGTAAATTTATATATGTACCATGTATATAAATAAGTACTCGCTAAATAACCTAACTATATGTTATACAAATAAGTATAATCGTTACTCGAGCTCCCCTCACACTGTCGCTTAGCTGGTCCTCTACAGAAGTTGAAAATAAAAACGCTGGTGTTCTAAATCGCTCGGTTGCCTCGACCCCCTCGTTTCATCCTTATCTCTTATTCGTTGTCCTTGTCTTCGGCAAACTACAAAGGCGACCCCTCGAAAATCGTGTCTCCTCTATCTAAACTGAACGCCTTTCGGTTCCGACCAGGGCGACAGTGTCAGAGATATTACTGTATTTTGAACCATG